GAAAAAAATCTCTTTGTCTTCGTCGAAATTGAGCGACTGCTGCGAGACGGTCTGCATTTTTGGGAACTTTTCGCAACGGCACAGGATGTAATCGTTCTGTGGAGCGCTGCAGAGGTAGATGCGCTTGAGGTCGTCTTCAGTAAACGTCTCCTTTGAGGCATTTGTTATTGTTGTTTAAAGCAACTGAAAATTTACGCAATATATGCAAGCGCACACCTCGTGCTCGGAACTCTTTTTCACCCATTTTAATCGTAGGGAATAAAATTTGGAGATGCCTAGTTCTCGATGTGGATGGTCCTTCCTGAACAGCTGGTAAGCTTCCCTTATAGATCGGGTCATAAACCTTTTTACGACTTCTGTCTTGTTGTCATTGATTATGGCTTTGACGATGCCCTTTTTCTTAGGGCTTTGAACAGAGCATGCGAGGTCGTCGCGTGTGTAGAACTCAAGCGCAACCCTCACGTCTTCGGCATTCGCCTTTTTTCCCATGAGGGATCCAAGGGTTGTCCATACAACATCTTTACGCTTCAGTCCTCTTGTTTTGAGCAATCACGTAGGCAGTCACTTCTGGCACCAGACGCAATATTTCTTTCTTCGAGATGCTTGGTGGCAGAAGCGTGTACAATCGCTTGCGTTCCTTGTGGGGACTGCATGCCTTCAGCGCTTCGCGGAACACGTCAAACCACTCCGCTCAGTGCTCACAATTGTCTTCGCCGGTTTTCAAGCCTTAATCGCTTGACAGCTTTCTTCTAATAAAAAAATCACTTGAGCTTTTTTTTATTAAATAAGCTTCACGCGTTTTTTTATTGGTTTTACATGGTTTTAAAGAGTTACCAACAAACTAGCAGAACAAAAGTCTTGACTCATTTCAGCCGGAATTTCATCAGAGTCCCGGAAAGAAGAGCTTGATGTACTCACGTTGTAAGGGGAAGCAATCTCATTCTGCAGGTATTTGTAGCAGTGTTGGCATAAAAGGTGAGTTTTATTCACTGTCCGTGGGGCCAGTAGCTTTTCCAACCGCACTTTCTTCAGTCTCCCTACGAGGTGCTTATCGCTAGACACTTCCTTCATGTGTCTCCGTAGATGCCTCACACAGAACAATCACACGGAGCTGATTCGTTGGGCCATGAATGTTCGGTCTGACTTTAAACTCGCACTCGCCTCGTAAATGACAAAACTTGAAATGTCCTCGCAAACGCCTATTTGATAGGTTCTGAATTCCTGTCTCCCGGCTCCGAATTTCCCGTCAAAGTTCCGAAAGAAAATGTCTTTGTGGTTAAAAACCGACGACCAGTTCGCGCTTTCCACTTTTCACCCGCTTCCTCCTCTCCCTCCTACCCTTTCCACCCATGCCTGCCCCTCTTGGTCGCTTCTGTCCATCCTTCGCTTCCCTCGCCCAAAGGCGTGGAGAGGAGGGTCTTCTACCTTGCAGAATCTCGAGTCTGGTCGTCGGCCTTTAAGCTGGTGTTGTATGTTTGTAGCTACACTTATTGAGCACCTAAGACATCGAGTCTCCGGTAAGCATAGCGTTAGGCAGCCGTCTTTCGTTTTGAATCACCCTGGGAAAGTTCGCTGTATTGTAATGCTTTTAGCGTTTTTGGTGTTGGAGTGTAGTTTGTTTGTGTGTGAGTGTGTGCGTGTTGGGAAGCGGGGTTACGGCAGTAAATCGGGAGAGGGGAGATTAGGGGTTCTGCTTCGGTCAGCTCACATAGCGTGGTGTAACTCATCTGTTTAGGTCCTTGGGAGACGTGCGCGTCTCTGTTCCTGCCCTTAACCTTGAAGGGATTTAGTTTGTCTGGCTAGGTTCGGTCAAGTTTTTACGGTCGCATGTCTGTCTCTTCGTTATATTTTCTTGCTGTGTGGACATGCATTTATTGTCGTTCCTTCGTGCAAATAAAGCTCAGCTGCGTTTGAGATTTCATTTCGCACAGTCCGTTTTTCTTTTTTCAACTCGTTTCAGGGTTTAGATTGCAATGTTTCCTATACAACTGACCTGCATACTTTCCCTTCTTACAACTACTCTCGGCCTATTTTCACGTAACTGATTCATCTCGCATTTAGCTTAGGGTTTGAAGGTAATGTGAGGTGCTTACTATTCGCAAATCGGCCAGCAGTGACGTTCGCAGACGCTTCTTGTTCGTGATTAAGGGGTGGAGAAGAAGGCGGGAAGGGGGGGTGGGGGGGGGGGCGGAGGGGGGGATATCGTCACACAACGATCAAGCAAGGCTCGGAACAGCAGAACTTTTCAATCTCTACGATAGTCTCCCTTTCTAAGATAGAGTCTCCCTTGACGCTTCCATGGAGGACATTATGCGACAGAGCCACTTTAATGAAGACGTCGGCTCGCTCCGAGTGAAGGTTTGTCGTAGCTTTTCCCGTTTGCAGTTCGTATGTTGCTCATTATTTTGCCATCACAAGTGAGTTCAAGTCACTGCAAAGTGCCAAGGGGAGATTAAAAAATAATAAGATTGAGTTTTTTTTTTTTTTTTAAATATCGACATTCAATTTTGCCACTTTTTCAGAAATTAGCTACATTTCCGCCTTAATAACAAGAAGACAATTAAGGGTAGGTATATTAATTTTATATATTCTTATGGATAATTTAAAGTCGCGCATTTTTATAAGTCTTGTTGAGTATTATAAGAGATAGTTCTTCTGCAAACAAATTCTGAATTTGTCTCTAAACCTCGTTTTATGACATGTGTGATTTTTTTTGTTTCCCTAGAAGTTTTTTTATCGATATTTTTAATTTTTTCGTGTATGTGTCGTAAACCTTTTGTAAAGTGTATTAAAAAGTTATGGCGACGTGAAAGCTTTGATACGATTGGCGACTGTGCAAAGTAGCATCACAAAATGTTCTCAATTTCAACGCCTCGAGCTTTTCTATTTTATATCATGATGTAGAATACCCGAGACTGTGGTAAATGCTGGGAAACTTGATCAAAGAAAAAAGACAGAGAAAAAGAACGTCTCAAACTCAGCTGCTGCGTTTACTTCCCCAAAGCCTTATATATCCGCAACCTAATCACCGACCACCGACGTCACCAAGTCAACCTTTGTTATACAATCTTGTGTTGGGAGTTCGGAAAAATGGCTGCAAAACCCGTTTTGAGTAGGAAAAGTTGTCATGCTTAATCAATAAAAGCAGGTATAGTCAGATTTCTAATCAGCAACGTACTGGACAAGTCGTGTGCTTATTTTATCGGTTTTGAAAGGAAAGAAAGGCAGTGGTCAAGGTTAGAAGATGCTGGCTATGAAAGTGAGTCCATAAAAAGGACGATTGGAATTGCGTCAAAACGCTAAACAGCGACCAGAAAGGGAAGCGGAAAAGCATTATACCGTTATTCAGTATTTTCACGCAATTTCTCACAACCTAAAAGCTTGCGCAAAGAAGTTTGGGATAGATGTAGCGTTTAGGTCCGAGTTTGAACTGCACCGTTCGGCACCGTCTCAGACGAGTGAAAAACTGTGTCAGAGAGCGAACCGTGAAAAGTCGGTTTATTGCAAGTAAAAGGTGCTCTACGAAATACCACTGGAATGCGGTTTCAAGTATGTCGGTCAAACTGCAAGGAGTGTAAATGATAGATTGGTAGAGCACGAAAGAAATGTAAAAGTAAACTCACCAAATTCAGAGATTGCTAAACACATTAGTGAATGCAGCGATCGTACGGCACCTAAGAGGCTAATAAGAGAGACAGCTCGTATCACATCCATCGGTAACTTTATCAGCCATGCTTTGATGCAACTCGGAAGTAGTCCCAAGAAGTTTCTTAAAATAATAATGTTTTTGTCATTCTTCTTTTTTTTTTGTTTTTTTACAGTTGTAGGTGAACGTGTAATGAGTCATTTTGCGTGCAGTGCGGTTGGCGGACATATCAGCTCACGCTTAGAAAAAGCACAGCCCTTTCAGACTCTGGCTGAAAGGGAAGTGGGTCGTTGTGTTTGTTTTGTTGTGTTTGTTCTGTTCAAATTCCCAAGCCTTCATTTGGTATTGAGGTCACAGATTACGATTGAGGTGAAGACCAGTGTGCGTAGGATTGTATAACGAAGGTTGACTTTGTGACGTCGGGGGTCGGTGATTAGGTTGTGGATATATAAGGCCTTAAGGAAACAAACGCAGTACCTAAGTTTGAGACGTTCTTTTTCCCGGTTTTTTTTTCTTCAACCAAGGTTCCCAGCTTTTACCGCAGTCTCGGGTATTCTGCATCATGATCAACTACCTCCGGCTCGCCTGCGCACTCACTGCTTTTTTTTCATTCTATTGTATATCTCAGCGAGAAAAAAAATTGTTACGGCGTTCATGATATGCAGCCGAATGTTCCTCCCAAAAACATGGCTTTCATAAATACTTTCTAAGAGAAATATCAAACATATGACCTGGACCATCATTGTATGAACTGACGTGGAATCACCCAGCATTACTTCGTTACGAATACAACCTAACATTAATCTGCTATCGTCTAGAATAACATTATCACGCCTATATGTTTTTCACAAGATCTACTATCATGACCACGACATGAGGACTTTAATGTTATTTCCACCCACTCGCATATTTCCACATATTAATAGCGTCTGTACAGTCTGGCCAATTTTCGCTTCATCGGTATCATTTCTTAAATCGACCTTACCATTATAAACAACAAATTGGAATAACCTGCCTAACAGTAGTGTGCCCCAGACTTATCATAACACATTAATATCCCATCTAACCACCCGTTTGCAGTTGCACCAGAGCAAATTCAATTTGTGTTTGTAGAAATGTTTTGTTTGTGTATTTGTTGCTCTTTAATTATCTGTTCTTTCTAATGGTATTTGAGTGTTTAATTTTCCTGTTTCTTGCTTGATACAACAATGTTCTCCAGCTTGTAGCCCCCCCCCCCCCCCCCCTTTTTCGGTAAAGCCCGTAAGTGCTTTCAAGGTTTAGTGGATGATGCTGCTGCTGCTGCTGCTGATGGTGGTAGTTGCATAAAAAGCGACACAAATATCGAAAAAAACCTACACAGCCCGTGACACGCAATTTTATTGGGACCGATGCGATTTTATGCTAATACTGAAACGCAATATACATGCGATGTTTCCGGCAAAGAAACTGAAAAGCAAGTCTAGATATTCGTAACATCTGGTGAAACCAGTTCATGGCGGTGATTGTAACGCATCTCGATCTGCCCTAGTTTCAGGCGCGCATTAATTAATGCCTCCTGCACGTACAAAGATGTCCAAGGCGGCGTTAGCTTCATTAATAATCCCAGTGCGACAATTCGTTCTGTGTTTTTTATTTAATGTTACAGTCTTACGGAGATTTTTACTGGAGTAAGCTCTCTCAGCTTAAGTATAAAAGGGGCTTCCGGACCGATAACATTCAGCAGTTGGACTTTCTCAAACTCTCATCTTTCACCATGACTGGAGTAAGTGCACTGTTTCTCGCTTACGGCGGTAAATTTTGCGGCTTAATGTTTTCCAATAAGATTATTTCAATAAATATGGCTCTATCAACTTCTTAAAACTTTAAATTTTTCTATAAACTGTAACTTTAAGGACCTTACTGTTAGTACCATGAGTGGTTTCTAGTAGGAAACAGCTATGTATCTCTACGCTACGATGGCTTGGAAGAACCAAGGGTGACTACAACCGTTTTAGTTATTCACTTGCGACAAATGTGTGGTTAAAACTTTATGAAGTTGAAGTGATGTTTAGTTGTTTAGGCTCACTGATCTGTATGTAAGGTATTGCAAAATACCAGGAAGAATTATGCAGGAGGTAAAAATTCCGGTCGAAGATAAACAAATTGAGCCCTCCCAGTATACATTTTTGAAGTCTATCCAATCGTGCTTTCGAGTTGGAAGGCTCGGATTAAGCTTTATACCAAACTTTCCCCTGTCTTGTAGAAAGCATCGAAGCAACCTCGGTAGTTTCAGACGTCCGCAATTCAACGGACTTACTAAAAATAATTAGCGCTTGTCTTGTGCATTTTTTCCCGGCGCATTTCCTATATACTCCTTTCACTCGCGACTGCCCTTTCGGTTGCCCTCGTTTTTTTACCACTGACTCTATTATCGATACCCATTCTGATAGGTTTGGGATTTGATCTAGTATCGGCCAGACATTTTGCTGAACTACCAAAAAGCATCTTTACAAGAGTTAGCTAAACATGAGAAGGCCGTCTAGGCAACAGAATCAATGTAACAAATTTTATGGTTCAAAGTATTTTAGTATCTTAACAATATGCTCAGAGCTGGGGAAAAAAGTTTATATTTGAAATATAACATTGCTCACAAGGGAAATTAAATGCTTCATGTTTGAAATGTGTATCGGAAGCGCTATAGATATAGCTAACTATAAAATTAAGCATGCTATCATCAAAATGCATTGAAAAACGTTTGAAGTACGCAAGTCTTAAACGATTGCCTACAGAAAAATTAGTTTACTGCCGTTATTATTTTTTGCATCAAAAAATCTAGAAATGTTTTGTGGGTTGCCACCAACGGAAAAGCTTTGAAACTGTATACACGTTGCGAGCCAAGCAAGCAAACCGGATATTTTTTTCAGCAGTCAGAGATAACATTACGTTGTACATTTTGCGAAGTCACAGGGAGCCGCATAAACGTGTTTTCTGCACGAACATTTAATTTTAAAGCACAAGTCAAGTATACGCTAAGGTGTCCTTACAATTTTAGCTAACGTGGAACAGACGGTAATTTTGCCCTACATTTTTCAGCTTCGTGCCTGTCTTCTTCTGGCTCTGGCCAGCAGCGCCCTTGCTGGTCAAATCCATGGTGGCCTTAGTCACGGCATCGTCGGCACTGGCGTTGTCAGCTCTGGTCTCGGCTACTCCGGCCTTGGCCACTCCGGTCTCGGCTACGCTGGCTACGGTGGCTACGGCTACGGTTCCGGCCTTGGCTACGGCGCCGGCCTCGGCTACGGCCACGCCGTCGGTTTTGGCAACGGCTTTGGCTATTCTGGTCTGACCGGCTACACTGTTGCTGCTCCCGCCGTGAGCCGTACCGTGTCCACCTACCACGCCGCTCCAGCCGTCGCCACCTACCACGCTGCTCCAGCTGTCGCCACCTACCACGCTGCTCCAGCCGTCGCCACCTACCATGCTGCTCCAGCTGTTGCCACCTATGCCGTTGCCCCAGCTGTCACCAGGGTCGCTAGCTACCAGCCAGCTGTCGCCCGTGTCGCTACCTACCACGCTGCTCCAGCAGTCACCCGTGTCGCTACCTACCGGGCCGCTCCAGCTGTTACTACCTACGCCGCTGCTCCAGTTGTCACCTCCGGCTTCGGCGTCTCCGGAGTCGGCCACTCCGGGCTCGGCTACTCTGGCTACGGTGGCTACGGTGGCTACGGTGGCTACGGTTATGGTTCCGGCTACGGCTATGGTTCCGGCTTCGGTTATGGAAACGCCGTCGGCTTTGGTAACGGCTTTGGCTACTCTGGTCTGACCGGTTACACTATTGCTGCTCCGGCAGTGAGGCGTACCGTGTCCACCTACCACGCCGCCCCGGCCGTCGCCACCTACCACGCTGCTCCAGCTGTCGCCACCTACCACGCTGCTCCAGCTGTCGCCACCTACCACGCCGCTCCAGCCGTGACTAGGGTTGACACCGTCCACGCTGCTCCAGCTGTGGCCAGCTACCAGACCTACCATGCTCCCGCTGTTGCCACTGTGGCCCATGCCCCAGCTGTCGCCACCTACCAGACCGTCCACGCTGTCCCAGCCATTGCCACTTACGCCCACGCTGCTCCAGTCTACGGATACGGCATTGGATCCCTCGGCTACGGTGCTGGCCACTACGGCTACGGACATGGTCTTGGAAGCTACGGCCTGAACTACGGCTATGGCCTTGGCACCTATGGCGACTACGCCACCCTCCTCCGCAAGAAGAAGTGTAAGTACATATTTTCTCGAATCCTATTTAAGAGATGATAGGTCTATTTATATTTTACCCTAAGCGTTATTAGCTGAAACATTGTGAACTTGTGATGCATGATGGATATTTTTTTTTCTTTTCAGAAACGCATTCACGGAACCAACTTTTACAAGGCAAAGTCACTGGCGTGTTGACTTAATATCTGAACTACCAAGTGCAATAAATATTTTTGTGATAAACGACGAAGCGTTCTTTCTGTCTTTACGTAAAATTACGTTGTTGTTCTTATGTGGCTAGGACAACAATTTGTCCGCCCGACTGCTAAAATTTCGGCCAACACATGTTCGGCTTACCGCTCTGAAACTATTCGTGTAGTATTTATGTCTTTGTAATAAATACAAGCAACTACAAATTGGGACGCTTTCTAAGGTCTTCGGTTAAATACCGGCTGTTTCACTAAACATTGAAGATCAAAAATCCTATTTGGCAATTTAGTATAACGATAGGGATCAAATTAGAAAGCTAGTCTGCGTCATCCAAAACACATAAATATGTAAATCTGAGGATACACAAAACACAGAAAGCGCGGGAAGCGTAGTAGGACGCGAAAGTTTCAGCTTGCACATAATACATGCGCCTGACTGGCGGAGCCAAAATGCGCTGGATAAGTAACTGAAAAACTGCGCGGGCACCTCGAAGTTTTACTAGGTATTTCCGCGGCCCCGAAAAACGAGGCACACGCTTCTAATTTATCTCTAAAATTGGGTGGTTTGTTGGTGTTCTGTGATGCCCATCAAGGATCCCATTAAACTTTCGCGTTATTTTCCATACTTTTTCAGATATAATTACAAGCGTAAATATGCTATGTAGCTGATTAACTAGGCCAAGTGGCAGTGACAAATGCAGTAGCTATCACAATTTTGTCAGATAATAAGTGTTCACATAAAACATTTTACTGGAGTTCCCTGAAACCCGAAGTATAGCCTGGAGGGCGTTACACAGGAGAGAGGTACACAATCTCTAGTTTACGCCGGCGTAACCTTGTTGCCTGGTGAATTGACTTAAGGACCGTTCGTGCTACAGACCAGAGTTTGTTTATGCCGGCGCCATGACACGGTATGAGAGCTGCGCTTTTTGCACGACTGCGGTTTTTTTTTTTTTTTTTTTTTTATAAAAACCTTCGCACATATCACAGATTGGACGAACGTAAAATACGCATGGTCACGAAGCTCCAAACAACAACACCAATGAAGTCTGGGCTGTGGCATTACGCAATGCAAAACGTCATGCTTGCATTGCGTAATGCCATAGCGCAGATTTCCTTTTTAGGTCTAAACGGACGTTCCGCCTCATAATTCATTGAGCTTATTTCGAAGATCGCAGAAATTGGCCCTTTGAGTGGTTTGCGGGTAAGTAGGCGCGCAGCATATTTTAGAGCGTAGACTGCAATTTTCGGGCTCTCCTGAAGAAAATAACACTCTGTCCGAGCTTACGTAAGCCAGGCAAAACACGTATATACCTTCGCCCTGTTTCTTGAAAAAAGGCAACGTAAAAGTTTTTTGGAACATTGCTACTTTTCAACTTTACTGTTCATATCGAGCAATTCTTTTTGTTGTTGCAATTTCAATTTCTCATGAATGTATTGCTTAAAACCGTTTCGTCGAATACGCGAGCTGGCTAATCCCGATCGCCTCCGGATGAAGCAGCAAAAGAATATTTCAAACCACGTACGTTACTGCGATGTATGCTCTCGAAGAAGTCGATTGTGCACATGCAAATCTGACGCTATACTAAAACTAATAAAAGCGGAGTTACAAGAAGAAAAAAACACTCCTTGGACAGTCGTGCACCTCCTTCCATTTTTCAGTCTTTCTTTTTATGTTTGAGGTGACGCTACGCCGCCGCGGTCTCCTTCCTCCTGCGTTTACGTTTTTTGTTTCCTTTTTTTTTACTGGACGTTCGAACCATCGCGTATTTTACTTTGCCTTGTTCGGCTTAGTTTTTACTTCCTTTCTTTCGCTTCGCCGCTTACTACTACCGGTTCGTCTGCTACGCTCTGCCCGGGCATTTGGAGAGCCGTCTGGGACTTTGTTGTTTGTTTGTTTTTTGTGCTTTTTTTTTAATTGCCGTCAGGGATAATTTTTTTTATGTTCGCCTTCAATTGAGTTTATGATCCGAAATCTTCATATGTACTTTTGGATACTTAATAAATATATTAAAAAGTGTAAGCTCGTTAGAGATTTCTCTTCGGGTTTTATTTGAGTACGCCGTCACGTCTGCTATGGGTCATCGTTGGTTGATTAACCGGCCGCCTTCGGGCATACACCAGCGCATACTTGGCCTAAATGCCTAATAAAAGCTGCTAGTCACCTATGTGTAATCCCTGCTGTATATAATCGCATTCTTTTTTAGCACGTGCTACGCACGCTTTGCTTACAATCGTTTCACCTCAAGAACCGTAGTAAAAAGCACGGCTTTACTACGGTTCTTGAGAGGGAAATTAGCATTACTAATTTCCCTCTTTATGCTGAGAATGGAGATATATAAAGGTGCATTTTAGGTTAGATATATGTTCTCTTATCAGGAAGTACACGTTTCAAATGTGAAAAGCATCGCTTCTGCTTCCGACCACCTAATCTTGTAAGAGCTACTTCGCGCGGTGTATAAACATGAAGCAAACCTTCCATTTGTTTTAAGTGAGAAGGTCAATAGACAGTCTGCGCTTTTACTTTTAATTTATATACATCGTGTAGTTGCCTGGAACTTTTGCTCTTGTACTCTGCTAATATCTTGATAAAATGGTGGGGCACATGAGCGTCTTTTGTAAGAAATAGCAAGGATGCCAGACGGGCTCGCTCGCGTAGTCGCCGCATGCTACTCGTTTAGCCAATATAACCTAGACTTCAGTGTCGCATTAAAAGAATGTATTCCGGTGTTTTTCGCGACACAAATCACTTGTTGGCTGAGGTGTGTTGACTTTACGGTAGAAACGTCCTATTTTGTTGGGAGCCGAACACACAACAGGGACATGAAAACGCTGATCACCTTTCTTTGGTATGTGAGAAACAAAGTGCATGTATGAAAGGATAGAATGTCTCAGTTCGGGTCGCTAAAAGGCTGGTGTTTGGCTTCGTATCACCTTGTTTACTAGAACATCTGCCACATCAGCCAGCGTTGCCCTATAAAAATGGCTACCGCTATTCTATAGATATTTGACCGAAGTTCTATCGCCCCTGTCGTCATTCTATCGCCCTCGCTTGAATATTATGGACACTTTATCGCCCCTTTCTCGACTTTGGGAACTGACGCGGTAGGCGCTAAAATGACAATCAAATGGCAAGAAACCTTTTAGCGTCTTTTTATTGACAAGTGTCCATACAATACTTGTATGTCGTCATTTTATAGTCATCCTATCGTCAATCTAGCGCCCCCGGAGGTAGTGGAATACCGGCCAAGCTCTGCTGCAAGTGAAGCAAACTTCAACTAATGTACGCTAGAGGCAGACTTCTACACGTTACTAAAAAAAAGTAAGGAATTACAGTTACAGTTACTTAGGTCTGAAATGTAATTTATTACAAATACAATTACCCTTCCGTAAAAGTAAGTGACCGTTACTCCGAAAAGTAATCCGTTACTTTCGCGGCGTTACTTTCTGCACTATTAATAGGAAACAAACGAAGAACATTATAGATTATAAAATTGTTTATTGTTTGATCAAGTCACACTTTGTTGATCTTCAGCAGTAGCTGACTCTTAAAAGTTGCATCCGACAGCTTTCCCCGCTTCTTTGTAAAGATGTCAGCCACCACGCTGAATACTCTCTCCACTGAGGCCCTGGATGGGAGCGCAGTATCATAGCGCACAAATGCTTGACGCACGGCATCGTACCTCTGACGTGAGGCGATGGAAGTGCATCTGCGTCCTGGAGGAAACGCGAAGCTTCATTCTGGGAGATGGAACTTGACACCGTTGTCATTGCAAAGCTGAAGTAATCGCCGGTGGAGTGGTCCGCGCCGTCTTCCTGGGTAGATGGCGTGCCAATCACAGTTGTGCTCCTATAGCAAGGGCGACTCAGCTCGTCCGTCAGCTGCTCGGCGAGAGCTTCACGCCTCGCGAGGTCGGTGACCCAGTTCGCTTTGAAGAGCGGGATGAGCGCTGAGGCCAGCAGGAGCTCCCGGTCGCCGTGCAAGTGATCAAACCTGGAAGACCAATATGGGAATCTACATATAAATCATTTCACAAATATCGCCAATTTGAAGAGAATGAACCTCGGTCAAGACGTCGGTGGCTAAGCTGTTTTCAAAATGTGCGTTGCAAATGTGAAAAAAAAAATCTGATTTTTATATTATTACACACAACCAATGCAAACATCAGGGCGCTCCCACATATAGACTAATAAAAACGAATGTTAAAACAAGTAAATGTAGGCGCACGTATGCCATACTTACCGCTTCTTAATGCCGTTTAAAAGCGCATGGACCAGGGGCCGGCAGAACTGCAGTCCAGTGTTATCCAGATGGCGAAGACGCAGTTGTAAGACGGTTATTGTTGGGAGCAAATACCCGATGTACATGCTCTCGTCTTTCTGTATCACGTCTATGGCGCACGCCAGAGGTTTCATGACCTGCACGAGTTACGTAGCAGTAAAAAACAGATTATTAAGCATGCCATACGGCAGCGAGGCAGAAAGTTGTGCGGGTTGGTTGATCGTCTTACAAATCAAAACACGGCAAAAAAAAAATAAAAAAAGAGACAGGAGAAACAAGGAAGGCACAAGCAGGCACAGCCCTGTGTCTCGGCCTTTTTGTTAATTTTGTCTCAGTTTCTTAGTTGTTGCGCTGTTTTATTTTGCATTATGCGATACAGATTCAATCCGCATTACTTTCAGGACCTGTTTACTCCGTAGGAATACACAAATAAATACATCTTCACAATTTGAGCAGACATTGGGGTAACGCCATTTCCCAAGAGTACCAAATATTAAGTAATAAGTTTAAACCACATATAGATTATTCATAAGTGCATGTCGAATTGTTTCCGTGACCACAATATATTTATTCTAGTTTTCGCATTGCAATTTTTTGTTAATAAAACCTAGCGTTCACGAAAATTAGTATTCAAGGGAACCTGCACTGGATGCCGAGATGAATATTTCCGGTTAACTTTCCACCGAAAAAATATATTTAAAGGTCCCTATATATTGCATAATCGAGATTACGGTCTGTTATAAAAATATGCTCTGAGAT